GCAATTGTTAGAGAAAAAGAAAACAGCAGTAATTATTTCATTATTGAATTTAATTTTAACATTTGAAAAAAAATAAGTAAAACAAATATTTTATGCAAGGGTTTTCATTTTTTATCTACACTGTATAAATCAGTTTCTCAGCTTTCAGGAGCGATGAATTTGGATGAATGAGATATTTTGTTAAAAAAAAAAAAAAAAAAAAGGCAAAATTCAGATAGTTCCAAAAGTCAACGGTTCGAGACGGGATAAATTGTATCCCAAATATTTTGAAGCAGACAAACAAGACTAGGTTCTTAAGGAATTGTTGCCGAAACCCAGTGAGGAGCAATGGTTGGCATGGGCGATTCGCATAAAATACAAAGACATTTTCAATAAATAAAAGCTATCCAGATGTTCCTTCTACACTCTTGGAAATCGACTTCAATACTCTTAGTAAGTGAGAGAAATGCTAACCAAAGCTCTTCTACGAGAAGTCTAAGCTCGTACACCAAACGAGATTGAACAATATTGGATAGCACAAGTTCAGGGACAGCTGTGATTTTTCGTTTAACTATTTAACTGAAAGGATGTATTTCAATAGAACAAATAAGTTCTCGCTGTATACTAGTATTATTTAAATATTTAAAAATATAGGCAACATGTTTTTTTTTTTTGTTACATTATTAATATTTTGGAAAAGCTATTTTAGACCGATGTAACACTTTTTTTTTTTTTTTAAAAGAAGAAAATATATAAATAAATAAAAAACTCTAATCATGTTAATCATTATCTATATAAAAGTGTTTTATAGGGTCTTCATGGTTTTGAAAAATGTTAAGCATTATACAATAATAGCACAATATATTTATGTTTCATCAGGAACTCGCAGATCCAATACAAAATCAAAAGGCAAATTGTAAAATATCAAACCAAGTAGCCGGAGAAACTCGGAGTAATAACGATGACATTTTCGCATCAATATCCTGGGACCCAACTCTCGGCTCATTTCCTCCAGAATGTCGAGAAATCACTTTCTCCCCTGAGGGCGGCAACTTTTATCGTCTAAAATATCTGGGCTGTTTCGTTAAAGTGGAACTTCTAAAAGCGGTTGAGTTTTTAAGTATATACAACATTTTTAAAACAAAACTTTGTGAAATAAAAGTCGCTTTTTTTCTTTATAGATCAGAAGGATTTCAAAAAGTGGAAAACATAACTATTAATAAAATTATAAGTGAAATAATTCACCATGGTAGATACTAAAGTTTATTAATCTGAAATTATTGAAACACTATTTTTCATTGAATCATCGAACACTGTAAAATAAATTATAATAAATTTTTAAACGTAAACATAGTAAAAAAATAGTAATAGAAAAACAAAACCCAGTTGTATTAGAATTGTTATATTGTATCCAACACAAAATTATAATTAAAAAGTAAAATGCATTGGGAGCATTGGTGCTGTTGATACACGATTACTACTTCACTACAAAGTGTATATACGATAATAGTTTTATGTTGTATATACACTGTCGATCTAGGAACCATTTGAGGACGAACACCGGAAGGAGAGGTCTGGAACGCACTAGTTTCCGTTCCGTTCCGCTAGCTAACCGCTGTTCCTAAAATACATACGAATTTAGTCGTCCAGTAGAGATGGATTCCAGTACAGTATATATATATATTATATGAGAGATGGGCAGAGGCGGATCTATGGAGAAGGAGGAAAGCGCAAAAGTAGTGAGGCTTTCGGATTGAAGCCTCCCCAAAATGGTAAAATATAACTATGTCGACTTTTTATATTTATCTGAAAAGTATTATTGTTCGTGTAATTACATTTTATAAGACTTCAAGAATAACTTAAACACTATTTCATAAAGGTAGTTAGTTTCTTTCTTTTCGTAACAAATTAGTTTAGCTATATATATAATTAGATAGAGGACGGAGGAGAAGATGAGAGAAGGTGTAGGAAAAAAAGAAAGCCAAGAAATGATGTATGCGTGGTCTTCAACTTGCCTATATCCCGATTTTATTTTGCCTTTTTTTCGTTATCGCAATAGAGGCCAGGTTAAAATCTTGCGTTTATCACTTTTTGGCTTTTTTTTTTCACACATTCCTCATCTTCTACCCCATCTCCGCTAGTGGATCCAGGATTTAATTTTGAGAGGGGGGCTTCAGCCCGAAAGAATTTCTTTGTATATATATATATATATATATATATATATATATATATATATTTGTTAGTGTTCCCGATTTGTTAGTATATATATATATATATATATATATATATAAAAGAAATTCTTTCGGGCTGAAGCCCCCCTCTCAAAATTAAATTCTGGATCCACTAGCGGAGATGGGGTAGAAGATGAGGAATGTGTGAAAAAAAAAAAAGCTAAGAAGTGATAAACGCAAGATCTGGCTTCTATTGCGATAACGAAAAAAAGGCAAAATAAAATCGGGATATAGGCAAGTTGAAGACCACGCATACATCATTTCTAGACTTTCTTTTTTTCCTACACCTTCCCTCATCTTCTCCTCCGTCCTCTATCTAATTATATATATATATATATATATATATATATATATACATATACATATACACAAGATATAAATAAACTATTATGAACACTGCTCTAGAGCGCTGTAACTAGAGCTAGCAGGTGTTCAGGTTATTAAGCTAGCAGGCAGTCGATACTCTTACGACATAGGAAAGTCACCTGATAGATAAAGAAAGACGGAAAAAAGAAGTTCATTAACATAATTAAGAGGGCATTCAAAGTAACAGGTGAAGAATGAGAAATATATTTAAAACGTTTATAACGAATATTATGAAAAAAAGAGCGAAAATAACAATAACGGTTGCGCCGGGGTTAAATTTGAATTGTAAATGACTGATGATGATTACATGGCCAAGCATTTGAATAATTGAATAAAATAAAAAATTTAGGTAGCAAAATAGGAAAACAAAACAGACTTGAAAGGAAGCATTTTCAGTTTGGTGACTTAATACCAACAAACTTTCAACGATCACGGTTTTAAAGTATTTGAACAAAACTTTAGCGTGATATAATTACATACTGTTTTCTTCAATATCAGCTACATACAGTTTGCAACTATTTTCCTCTCAAATCGAAAAACATATCTCTGCTATTTAATAGGAAAGCTGTGCATACACATTGGTCTACTTGTTTTCCAAATTTATTGGAGTTCTATTGTTTCCGCAACGTTCTTGTGTGACGTACTTAAGTTAATCAACTATAATGCCTTCAGTAATAAACAGACCAACTAACGCGAAATGAATTTTTCAAACAGGACTGACAGCAGTCTCTAATATTTATATATTAATACAGGTCAACACGATAATATAAAATAGTTAAATTCACAGATCTCAGTACAAATTTATAGTTTTAAGTAAAAACATATTTAAAATATGAAATTTTTTAACAGCTTTCAACCTTTCTATAAACTGTTACTTAAAATATCTGAGGAGTTAACCACCGATTAATACGTGTTTCGACTGATCAACAAGTATAACTTCAATCAGTAGTTTTTTATTTAAATTATACATATTTTCCTTTTGTCTTACCAATATGACATTACACAGGTAAATGTTATTTTGAAATAAATCTGGTAGAAAATTCTTGGCATACTCCAAATATAATTAAAATATTCTGGATTAATAACATTGAATTCCACGATATGAACTGGTGAAGGTACATCCAATTAAAGTATCTTTATGTTACTTATAATATATATTAATCGAACGTGCTGTTTCGAGCTTTTCAGGCCAATCTTGTCGTCCTTCAAGTACAAAATTAAAATTGTATTTAACCGTTTTCTTTGTTTTAAGCAAGTAACAAAAATTTAACGGAAAACCCAATTCATAAAATCAAAAACAAAGAAACACGGAGTATTTTATCTTAAAAATAATTTTTGTTTTTTGAACTTGCTGGATTATGCAAGGTGGCTGTTGATATAACAGCATCTACAACAGAATAAACATTTTGCACAGTGCTCGTCTCAAGTCATAATTATATCCTTAAGATCCTTAACTGGTGAATTTCGGTTTGTGGTAAGCTTTAATTTAATTTAATTTTCAGTTATTTTAATTCTATATTATAAAATATCCTCATTGAGATATTTTATAATATAGAATTAAAATAACTGAAAAAAAATTCCATAAAATAAACTAAATCTACCTAATTTATAAAATCTATCAATTGACTCTATTGTGATAGATTCTTAAATTGGTAAAATTCTAAACGTGTAATAACATTTATTTTGCAAGACATGTTCATGATTCGGTTTTTTATAAAAACCCTATTTATCATATCGCTTTATAGCTACAGTTAAAACGATAATTTCAAAACAACAAATAATTCAAACGTTCACCAGTAAAATAATTCCATCTAGAACACACCATAATTAAATATACCTCACATTAATGGAAAGGCACGTAATCAACCACTGTTTTATGAAAATCAATATTAATATTGATTTATATTAATATATCAATATTGTGTTATCAATATCAATACTATGCTTAAATCATTCTCATTTTCATTACGAAATTTAGGTAGTCTATAATAAAACTTTTATCAATTGAAAACTCAACTGATCAATTGTAAAACTTGATTCGTCCAAGAATCTTCAAGAATGAAATTAACGGATTAGATTAATTTTTATACAGTTTAATTAATTGTAATTGTAATAATAAATAATAATAAAATTACTTAAAAGTTACGATGAGTTAGGGTCACGTAGAATTCTAAAGTTTCCAATAGTCTTCGAGTTGCGGTTCGAGACACGAAAAACGATGTGGTATTTTAAAATATTTCGAAGAGAAGGATACTATAATAATATATAAAATAATAACATATGTTGGGAATAATTTATAAAAAAATTAAATAAAAAAAGACTTACACCTCCTTGTGGAATATGAAGTTGGGCGGACAGTGCGAAGTGACCTGAGCTCCCATCTTAATTAATTACGAACAATTCTCAACAAGAAAACACAAACAAATGGTCATTTCGATCCTTACACGATGGCGACACGAAGCTGTACCGGCACCGACTGAACCTGCTAATGCCACCACCAACCATAGCTTGACCAAACACCAATCCAAGGACGGGAAAACGCAACACTTATGCAACGGTTCACTCTATAAATAGCGGGCCGTCTTACATCAAACCTTATACTTTCGATATTGCCAGTGCAGTTTTAGTGCATCTTTAAAAAAATAATACAAAGAAAAGACAAATAAGTATATAATTCGATATATATATTACAAATCTTTCGACGTCGAACTCCGTTTGTATTATATTTTGAAATAATTATTTTAATTGGAAAATATAATGACCTTATTCCCAATTGAAATAGCTGTTTCAATAAATATATATATATATATATATATATATATATATATATTTTTCCCGTTGTAGTACTGATTTCATGACACAGGGATACAACGTACCTTCCCTAAATATGTATATGATTATATATAGTATATGCTTGAATATTCAGTTCAGAAGTCCAGAAAAAAAATTGCCCCAACGTCTTTTAAAATACTCGTAATTTAAGACTGAATGAAAACGCAACCTCAAATTAGCTTCAAAACCAAACATCGTTTCAGAAAAAAGCTAAAGCTCCAACGTAATAAATTTAATAATAGGTTATTCAATAGGGTTTTGAAAAAAAAAAAAAATGCGTTTGTTGTGCCTCCCAAAGCGACATAAAAATGCGTTAATATGAACCAACAAACTGAAATTCATTATTTCATAATTAAATATTCCGTAATATAACATTCCTGATCTATATAGAATCGTTCTTTAACGAGTTCACTTTGGGTCTAACAATAAAATAAATATATGTTCAGAAATTGATGGGTAACAAATCTTGATTTGTCGAGGTAGTAAGTGGTAAACAAAAATAACGAGTTTAAAAGTTTGTATTCTACTTTTTTTTCGCTATGCGAAATTTATCAACTTTGTTTTCATTACTTTTTATAGTTGTAATTGATCCTTTAAAATCACTCTTATGATCTCGCATAAGGTAGGTCGAAATGCACTTAGAACATTGTCACGAAAAAAATGAGTGAAAATGAGAGTTTGACTGACAACTCATAATTTCGTTAATGTTTTTCTCATACTAGTAATTGTGGAGATATGTAGACATGTTCATTCCAATATTACAAATTCGTATAAATGGATTATATACATCATGTTTTTTTTTTTTAATTCTTTATTTTTACTTTGTATAACTATTATTTAAATTTAATATGTGTATTACAATATTAGTTAAGATTCATGTGCCATCAATCATTATAGTTTATTATTTGTAATTAGCGGTCGTATACTATTATATCTCTGATTATAATTTTTAAAAAAACATTTTCAGCCCTGAAGATGACCCACATGTTTGGGTTGAAACGTTGGCAAAAATAAAAAAAAATTAAAAAAGAGTGCGTCCTGAATATTCATCACCCATTATATTAATAAACTATTAATCCTCCGAATATTCGTATTTTAGTGTTTTCAGCCTTATTTTACTGTAATTTCACGATTATTACGTATATTTTTTATCTGTACAAATATGTAAACAAAATAACATTTATATACCTATTTTCTATTTTAATGGAACATCCATAAAATCCATATGAAACAAATTTAAGTTCCACCTCCACCACATTTCGTTAACGCTAATTATGTTTGCAAATATGCATCGGGAAAATTCGGGACTTTTTATTGTTATAATTGTTTTCATTGCTAAACTTCAGCACCGAATAAATATTGAAAATTCATGCAATCAAATTTTGGTTTTCTATTCTATAATTATCAACTATTATCATTGCTTTTCCCTAAATATTCATCGACTATCCTTTTGCTGTAGTTGCCTTTTTAGCATATCTATAAAATAATAGCCTAAGTTAAAAAAGTCTCCTTAATACCAAGCGGGCTAACATAAAAGGAAAAATGTGGATTAAGCGATCAAGGTTTCAGAAGTGGACTGAAATCCATAGGTTAAACTACATTAAACCAATTACCTGGGAGACAAAAGGTAAGCTCCCTATTCATACCAACCCCTTTGTGCGCCCCGGGCCAAAATATTTTTCGAATAGGGCTGTTATATCTGCATTCCGACCGAGGAGGGAAAGCTATGTGGCTACTCCTGCCGTTTCGAGATAATACTCCAATTGAAATTCAAATGCGGACAATTTGAATAATCTTCCTTTTTGTTTATATAAAACTGTCAAAACGATACCACTAGATGGTATGTTATGTCAAATATATTCGAAGAAGTTTCGGTAGTTTGAACAGTAAAAGGAAGTTATCTATTTTTCCTATAACATGATAGGATACACAATAAATCATAAGTTATAGGTAAAAAAAAAGCTCACAATTCTACGATAGCAAATATTATTTGTATTAACATACATAATTTCATCAATAAGGATGAAGTTGGTGTTTTAGTAATCCAAATACTTGTGTGATGATAAATAATACACTCAGGACTGAATAACCCAATTGAATTGAATAAAATAAAAAAATAATTAAGAATAAAATGAGTCATGGGTCATTTTTTAAAATCTAATTTCTTGATAAAGTCCTAACTAACCAAAGAATTAATTAAAGAGTATATTTTAAGTATAGGATCTTTTTTTGTTTTTGAAATCTATATTAAATTTTATTTTAATAAGATAAGGATCAAATTTTACCTTATTTGCTGTGAGATAATGAAGAAACATTTAGTCGATATTAGTACTGGATGAATAACCCAGCAATTTATTGTTTTTCCATCTCCTAACAAAGTTTATAGCCATTAAGTATTCCTATGTCATATAGAGTGTATTACTCTATTAGTTAAAACCAATAGTGCAAGTATTTTTTACTTCAAACTTTTTACATCTTAACTTTTTTATTGCAAACTTTTTATTTCTTATCTTAGAAAACTTATTCTTATATTTATTACCGTCTTTGTGCAATTTATTGTTAAAGTATTTGTTATTTAAAGTTTTCTTGAATAATATGCTGCTTTAAAAGTTATTCTATGCTTTGATTACTGTACTTCTGCTGAGTAAATATTTGTAAAATAGTGCAATTTGATTTAATTATATTACTTTGTCTCAAATCCAACTATAGTATCTAGCTTCATACAGTCTCTAGTAAAACCGGAACATAATAATGTTAATTATTAAATGTTTGTAAAAAAAATATATACTTTTTTTATTATTTACACAATTACCGACATGAATCCTGTATATTTATTTAATTTACAAAATGTAATCCTTTGTTCTTCACAATTACGATACTTTAACCATTCTAATATGAATATATACCACTCAGGATACTTAATAATTTACATTGAGAGATAAAAAGTTCACCATTTTTCAACCTTATTTAACTGTAAAAGTTACAACAACTTGACAGTAGTTCAACTCATCATATTAAAAGTAACCTCGATATAAACATTTTCGATATAAATTCAAAATTGATAATATATATATTAAAAATCCGATTCAACTGCCAGATTCGCTCAAGAAATATTCGAAGACTTAGAAAAAAAAAAGTGTAGAAAAATCAATGCAATGACAGGATAGGTTCAATTTTATCCATCGTTTACTCTAAACTTAGTTTTTGTCTTTAGTTCCTGTTTCATTACGTGCTTGTCGTTTAAAACAAAATTAGCTTTGCTGTTTTTAAAAATTATTGTTACGTTCGAACAAACGTAACGTTTTTAATAAATTAGGTCAAACTATCTTTTTTTTCTTCTCAAAATTGTATACTACTAATATCTAAACTTGGTGGAGAAATATCAACAGTTTGTAAGCGGCTCCGTGATTTAAATTTACAACAAAGAGTCAGACACTCAAGTAGGATCTGTAAAGAAAGCCCAAGGACTTGGACAGGGATATGACTGGAGCAGTGGAGTCAAGGTCCCTTCCACGCCAGTACCGCGTCTACTTTCGCCAGCTGTGACTTCACCTGCTACCATCGGCAAATGTCACAGCTTAGAGGAGAGGAAATCCAAGTTATACAACAGTTCCTCTTATTAACCTAAATAATAAAGGTAACTTGCCTTGGGAAACAGCGCTATGAAATGCTACTGAGGCAATTGGGCTTTACACCATACCCAATAGCTCTAATTGGGACCGATGTGATTCCACTGACGCAACTCCGGTTCAGGATTAGAACACGGAGGAGGAATTACTTTAAGGAGTGGAACAGATTTTAAAGGAGAGAAACTAGTTTTAATCCGCATTCTGAACTTATACAGACAATGTGGATAAATATATCCAATTACGTATATTGGACCAGGAAAAAGGGCTCAAATTGATTTGGGTTATCGAACTGACGATAAGACAACAACCTAAACCTTAAAATTCAATTAGTCAAAAAGACAATTTTTTTAGGAAGATTTTTGGAATTGCATTAAAACCTCAAAAAGTTTGGAGGATTAGTGATCGATTCATAATAGAGAAATGTCGTGAATATTCAGAATCATGCACAGTGATCATAAATGGTCATCATTTTGAGAAAAAAGTAATAATCTGTACTCATACATACTCATGTATACTTATAATTACTAATTTATCCTTAGCCTTATCTCATCGTAACCTACAACTATTTTCGAAAATTCTTGTAATTGAGGCGTTTTCAATCTTGAGATCGGCAAACGTCGTCTATTTAATTAGGTACTAAAAGTCGTAAATACCCATTTGCTTTCCACTTGGATCGCAAGATAATTCGATCACAAAATCGAGAAAAAAAGGCCTACCAATATTGGGCCATCCTAGTGGAAAGCTAATGGGTTTTTAATACCTAATTAAATTAACAAATTTTGCCGATTTAAAGATTGAAAACGCCCCCAATTCTAAAGTTTTCATAAATAAAATAGTTGTAGGTTACGATGAGATGAAGTTATTCAGGAAGTTTTAGCCGGATGTTAATAATTTGATAAAAAGGGCTCTAAAACCAGCACGGACTATAAGAGGATGATCCGCTTAGTAATTTATTTTTTACGTAACATTCTAGGCTGAGAAATATACCTATTTCACTAAAGGAAAAAAAAAGCCAGAGTTCCGTTATTTTCTCCTTAGTTTTGTCTGGGAAATGGGTTAAATGTTATTTAGTTGTTTCATTAATGCCTATTTGAGAAACTTGAATAGATTATATAATCAATACTACTTTCCCATATGTCCTTTTTGGAAATTGTATAATTTGTTTCCGAAACCAATTTATCAAAACAGCGAACATGAGAGAAAAAATTGAGACGTCAAAGGCACATGTATAAATCTCTCTCCCCCTAATTCATTTACAAATTTACGAAACAACTATAAATAGGACAGTGCACATCAAAGGGATAGCTGATAGCTGTCCTTTGCTAGGGAAGTTACACGAATTTCTTACTCTCACTCAATGCCAATGCCACTCAATACATCTATTGTTTTTTAGTACAATTCTTTTTTTATAAATTAAATTATTACGTTAAGAAATTATCAGGCTCTTCACATGTTGCATTTGTATATTATTTAGATATATTTACATAGTTTTTAGCAATTACATACTTAGACATTTTATATGGAAGGACCCAGCTCTCTTTTAACTTTCCTATCTATATTAGGTAAGGAAAGTATTGCGAACCGGTCAAATTTCCGATATGCGGTTTTCGGCGGATCTACACGTCTCAGAGCCCCCTAGTTCGAAAACCACATTTTTAGCCATTGGTCTGTCTGTCTGCCCGTGCCAAGATTTTCTTGGGAACGAGGGAACCGATTTTGTTGCTTTTTTTTTTTATTTTGTAGGTTGTAGGTTTTGACTAGTGATAACTTTGACACAAATTGGATGCTCCATGTTTCTATTAGGCTGTTTTTGAAAGACACTGAAATTCCCTACAAAACTATATAAAAATCGTTCGTTTTAGACAACTATTAATGAAGTTATAGCTATCCAATTTCCAATGTAAGATGACGGGTACATATTCTGGTGTCAGAAAGGGGTGAATGAGAGAAAAAAAGATAACTAAGTGAAAGTAAGAAAATCTGGTTCGCGCATCACACAAGCTTCACTATTTCCTCTACTTTTAACAGAAATTATTGTTTGACAAAATTAGGCTACGACAAAAAGTTTTCGATCAGCATTATTAGAGGGTATTGAAATGTTTACACTGATCTACCTTAAACCTGTTTACATTGCTTTATTTTATCAAATAAATCGTACTCAAATCTTTTCTTTGATCACTTTTCATGAAAATAAATCTAATTCAATTTTTTTTTTATTCTTGACGCACATGTGTAAAGATATAAAAACTTTTCTGAAATGGGTTGGAAAGTCGTGTGAGTGGACATACTACATTTTTTGCTTAGTGGAAGCTCAAAGATTATTGATGAGAAGAATTTAATTTATTTTTTTCCTTGGAAGTGTATATTTATACTATTTTTTACCATTCTATATAGCTGTTTCTATAAGTGTTTTGTACATAGTTCAATTCTTTTTGTATTTAGCATGTTCACTTGATGTTTACTATACTTCCTTATTATTTTTTTATTTTGCTATAACGATGCTGTTATTCTTAAGGGTCTTTCTCCTAGAATAAAGTTATTTTCTATCTAAATAAAACAAAATTTCCTGTAATTCCCAGATTTCCCTTTTCAGGAACATGGATAAACAGATAGCATATATACTAACATCAAGATATATGTATGATAATTGTTTAAAACAATAATATAATTTAGGGCAAAAAAAGAACTAAGTAATACCGGAAGCTGTCAGTGAAATTAGGCTACCATCCTCTCTATAATGAGTTGCAATAACAACTGCCTCTTCAACCCGGAGGAAATTGCTTAATGGGAATCTCATAGGTGGCGAGTAGCTACCAAGTTGTGTTAAGAAAAGTTGCGGAATATTACGTATTACCATCTCCAAGCGAAATCTTACTCCAGCACCAGGAATATACTCCAACTGGTGAGTCATGATGTGATCATATAGGAGCAATAATATGATGCAAACTGCCGGTTTTATAAAATATATATATATACACAGAGGACTCTCGCGAATCTGAACCACCGCTTTAAAAAATGGAAAATTTATTTGATTAAAACGTGAAGAATTTGTACAATGTTTCAACAAATACATCTAATGAGCGCAAGAAAATGATGTAGAGGTAAGTCAGATAAATAATTTTTAAATTACATATCTTCTGAAACATTAGATTTAAAACATATTCTGAAAACATACTAATTTAATATTTTTTCTTTGTTCTTGTTTGATTTTTTATATTCTATTGCTGAAGCAGATAACGTCAGAGGCATTGAAAAAGATGATTCCAAGTTCCAAACCAAACAAAATATCAGATTATTTCACAAGAAATTAGTTTAAAAATAGTTTTCAGAACAGTGATTAATTTTTGTCAAATATTTTCATGCTAGTAAATTTATAATTTTTTGTTTTTAAATTGATTTGTAATCTATGAAGTGACCTTTCTTTCTCCCGTTCGGTAATTCGAATTTTTCGCTTTGTATTTATGTAACAAACCGAAAATTTTAGAGATGCACGAATATTCCGAATACCCACCCATACTTAGAGCGTGACTGAGCAAAGTGAGTTAACTTAGCGTAAAACAAATATTAATCATTCTTTGTTTATGAATAACATCTCAATATTTTTCTTAACATATATTTTTTAAGATGCTAAGGAGACCTAGTTTTAAGCGAAGATGTAGGGACCACTGAAAAGATTTAAGAACCAGTAATGTACCCAAGTCTTATCGTATAAGAAACGAAAGAAAGTTTTAAAATATTCCACTGGTATCTAAGTAAAACTTCCTTAGAGATGGCTTTAAACACCATTATCCATCAACATCTAGTATAACGGTGATAATAAAAATACACTGTTCATGAGGTAAAAAGATGAACTACATAAAGCTTTAACTTTTTCATTATTATTTTTATTTTATTATTTATTTATCCATGGCGTCAAGTTCACATCACATCTTCAGAACTGCTTTTAATGGGAAATGGGAACTCCAAAATGGGAAATTTGTTTCTTTTTTTTTTTTTCATTGATCCATATTTGTTTCTGTGAATGAACTGAACTAAATATTTAAACAATCAAAATATTTTTATAATTTTAAGGCATGTATTTTAAGCATTACTGTTGGTGTAAAGTAATTACTGTTAATAAAAAAAAGAAAGATTAAAATAAAAAAAAATATAACTCAATCTCAAAAATTAAATTCTGAATCCGCTACTGACACTATTTTTTATTTTAGAAAAAATGATTAGTTTATATTCTTGCCACTCTTCATAAGGTTATTTCTCTCTCCCACAGCAAAACCTTTCGGAGATGCTTTCCCACCCTCTTCTGCATATAATTTGTCCCATTAATGTTTGGTATTTACTCTTAAGCATTTTTATACATATTCTTAAGTAAGTATTCTCACTTACCCAAAAATAACGCAGCATATCATAAGCCAAAGAAAGCGACAAACTCTTCTTCCCGAAACAATTCAAATAGTGATAATAATAAATGTTATTGTTTCTGTAAAATGTTTACCCTTAGACAAAGATGTGGAAGATATAAAAAATTAAAAAAGCTTGAGAAGAACAATAAAATAAAATAAAATCATTTGTGAAGAGTGGGTGTGATTTATTAATTTATTTCGAAATAATATAAATTAAGTACTACAATAAGAGACAAATAATACTCAATATTAGCCTGCCATAATTATAAATGGAAAATAATATTTAAAAGAGGAGATTTTGGGGACTTACTTTAAGAAACTTGAGTTCATACACAACACGGTAATCACTAAATTATCTAAATTTTAAGCGAAAATGAAAAGAACTATACTTTCATTTTATTACGGTATAAGTACTGAAACATCCCGACTGATGTACATAACAATCGGCTGTTAAAGACGCAGTTAAAAAAAAGGTATCGACGACACCACTTCGTGCTCGAATCGAAGAGCTCTTGCATAAGATCAGTCACGGAACAGATGCTATTGTTATGCAGGGGGTGGATATTGGGCCACATGGAATGCCACCTTACATCA